AATTGTCATTCGTCAGACGATTTGTCATCCGCCACTTACATTTCCAAAGTGGCGAAAGGTTTCGTGAAAATCAATACGTACATGTTCACGGATTATTGATATTTAAATACATGTATGCATTTTGCGTTTACAAAAATGTCCGGCATCAACTAGTATTTATTGGTCAGAAGGTTTCGTCATAGGTTTCGTCAGGTTTAGCCATTCGTCACAGGTTTCGTCATTCGCCACAGACATTTTCAAAATGGTCGTGACGAAGGTTTCGTCAAATTGACGTGACGAAATGCTTCATCATCGTCAAGTATCATTGGGGGGGGGTGTTGAAAAAAGGAAATAAAATAGAATCACGCTTGTAACAAGAATCAAATCGTTATAATAAAATCTTGTTTATTCAATAATGATCAATGTTAAATAAAACTTAATCGATAAAACTTTGATATAAATAAAGCTTTGAATATCAGAATGCAACAATCAACTTGATAATTATCTAAAAATTGAAAACTAGTCTTTTGTAAGGGATCGTTGCGAAGGAGTTGGGAGGACGACCTGGACGTTGTTTAGTTAGATGTTTTTGTTTAGTAAAGATTGAGTTGGATTTTGTATTCACAAATGTGACAGGACTAGGGTAAAGCTCATATCATCCATATAAATATCCAAACCGTTAATGAGATTCGATGTTGTCGAAAATTCAATATGATCAACCATACGAAATTGTTACAAAAGTTATTATAAAACCAATTAATCGAATCAGGAATGCAGTCAATATTGATTGTTCTCTTGCTTGCCGTTATAATGTCACTGCACTCGGTTGACAGTTTGTGCAATACCTTCCGGCCAAGGAGCATGACCATTCAAGTAACGCTGCTTGACACGGTAATCTGGTTCCTCTAGAGGTGGAATAAATTTGGCATTGGTGCCAGTTGTCTTTACATACTCTTTTTGCACTTTTCGTAAATATGCATGAAAAGACATATATTTGATTAGATTTTCTGCCAAATAATTGAATGTGCACTCCCCTAACAAAAATCATCGATCAATGGTCAAGTCAAATTTATTAATAAATTTGACTTGACCATTGATCGATGATTTTTTTCAGAGGAGTGTAAATACAGAATCAATGTTAAGAGCATGCAGTAATCGCGCACATGCCATGTATAGAATGCCTACAGCTAAACACGAAAAACCAAATTAATATTTACATAAGCAGCAATGAATACACATCACCTCAAATAAAATTGACGCGCAAGCACACAATTCACGCGTACAATTTCGGAGCACATCCTCGCTTAATAAAACCAGACTGTTTCTCTAGATAATCATCCACAACTTCTTGCTTTACATTCAATGCTGATGATGAACTGGTATTCGCTGTTGGCTCAAATGGTCCTACTGTTGATGCTAGCCGTTTCCAGCAGAAAACTGCTGAAGTGCCTGGTTTCGCGCCGTCTTCAAAAGTTACATATATAAGATCACCATGACTAAAAAGATACGATACGAGTTCGTGAGACTAAGAAAATCTTAACAAATCATAAGGAATATTTTCTATGCGTGCTTTATTTCTAACTAAGCGATACTTTGTCTGAAAAGATATTTCGCTTGTACACCATTTTGCGGGTCTTTTGATATTTAGTGTGGACGGATTAAATTTGAGTTGGATTGCAATCTTGACGGAAAAGACATTTGTTTAGTTTTAAAAAAATAAAGTTCATATTCATATTCTTACTTTTTCTGCCACCACCGTAATATCGTCATTTGGATCAACCTCAAAGCGACTCGTCCCCTCTCATACAATCTTGAGTTTCAAATAGAAAAAAGCAAATCAGCAAAAAGACTATTATTATACAAGTTCTTAAATATTTTGAAATTACCGTATTGTATAGTCTTAATTGGAAGAAAAATGTAGTAACAACAAATATCCTAGGTTTTACGAATAGAAACTCGATATATGTAAAAAAAAATGCGTGTTTAACACATCACATCAACTAGAACAATTTAAATATTACGTAATTTAGTAGATCGTCACTTCAGCATTTATTTGATTTTATAAAACCTAGTTAATGATCAATATTATTCAAGAGGGAATAAGAATACTGACTAATTAATGAAAGTGACTTTGGAAACAGAAAATCAAAATTGATCGAAAACTCGATAAAGTCGTGCATATGTCAATAAATTAACAAGAATCGTAAAAGGACGCGATGTAGTATTAATATTTTCACTGATGTTATATATTGTTGGAGGGAACCTTTTACCACTCAAACTTTTGTTGTACCTTTTTTAAATAATAATCATTATTCAGCAATAACATATTCAAAAAAAATAATCCTTCACCCTCATTACCCTCGTTGTCTGCAGCTGCATTTTTCTCTTTAGATTTGCCTTTTTCTTTTCTTTTCGTTTCTGTTTTTCCTCTTCTTCTTGCTGACGTTTTATTCGACACGCGCGCCTCGAATTCATATTCTTGTGGCTTTTCTTCTTTCTATTTTTTTTAGACGATCCAGTCGTTTTTGTACTTGATCCAATGTACTACACTCTCAAAAAGAAATAAAAATTAACTATTGTCATCAACCAATCTTTTCCTATTCTCCCTACCAATTGCAAGAACATAATAACATCAAATAAGCTCTCACGTCTACTCACGTTTTTTTTCCATTAATGTGATCCAAATAATTGATATTAATCCAAATAATTGATATTATCCTTCATCACACATCAGACACTTTACAATAATATCCTGGTTGTTTCGAGGCAATATACTAGTGTTTTGAACCAACTGGTTCTATTCGAGTTAAGCAAATCACGAGGTCCCTCTTCATCCAAAACATCGTCAGCTGGTTTAGGTTTTAGACCTTTACATCTTTGCTCTTCCTCCTCTTCTAGCTGTTATGCACGACGAGCACGATC